CAATCTTTTTTAGCTCAATACGAATGGTTTTGTTTGTTTGTTGTTGTTCTTATAAATTGATTATTTGTAATAGCTAATTTCAAGAAAGGCAATGATAAAGACGGGTGGTAATTTATAACGGAAAGGAGAAAGAAATTTGATGGTGGAAATAGACCGAATTGTAGTGCTAGTGGAGGATATTGGAAAGCAACAGGAACTGAGTCAAAGATTCATGCCGGAAAAGGAGTGTGGGGCTCTAAAAGAAGTCTTGATTTTCGCATCGGAAAACAACCAAACGGCGTTAAGACGGATTGGATCATGCAAGAATACCGTTTGGACCGTCCTCTGCCTAATAAAAAGTCACATGGAGACAACAAGACGGTATGTTTTGCTTACTTGGGTTACAAGTTGTCTTTAAGATTTTGGTTGAGTAATTTTGATTATTTTTTTTTGTTTTCGTGTATGTAGCTGGATACAGTTTTGTGCAAGATACAGTATATCAGACGCCAATGGGAAAGAAGACGAAAGCAAAGGAGGAACAAGAGGAAAGCAAGGGTTTATCCTCTCTGTATCATAAAAGGGTATTGACGAAAATACCCTTCCATCTTAGATTAGACTAACCGGGTTAAACCAATTTGGCAAAATTGGACGAAAATGTATTGCATATTTGTATATTTTCTTGAAAACATTAAACTAGTAAAGATCAATTTGGAAAAATTGGACGAAAACGTATACTATTGCATAGATTTGTATATTTTCTTGAAAACATTAAACTAGTAAAGATTTGCATTTTTTTTAACATACAATTTTGTAAACTAGAGTATTAGAGAGAGATTGACATGCAACTTTGAATAAGCAAAGTTTAATTAGAGGAAAAGTCGTGTTTCCTAAAAAAAAGGATATTAAATAGTACATTTCCATTTGATAAAAACAACAAAAAAAATTAGTACATTGCCATTTCTTACATTTATAATAGCTTATAAATACAATAGACTCAAAAGCTTGTGCTAACCAAACCAATAACAATTAAAGCTTTTGCAAACATTCTAACAAGAAAGATGAGTAATCAACCAAACCAACAACAAGATCTTCCTCGTCCGACACAATTTGATGAATTGTCTACGATTTTCTGTCCTCAACGTTAACAACAAGAAACAACAAGAGTTGGTGGCTCCGTTCAAGATCACTCTCTCAATTCGTAGGAGTGTCGAACAATACCGGTTTATTGGAAGAGATCGTGAAAGAAGGAATGAAAAGGAATAATAAGCGTTGATTTCAACCTTTTTATGGAGTTTTTTATATCATAATAGTGTTTATGGAGTTTTGGGTTTTGATTTTCTTTTCTTTAGTTCTTTTTCATGAAGATAAATAATTAAGATTGCAATTT